AAACAATCTGTTTCTCTTTTCACTGATCCTATCATTAGAAAGGAATATACCAATGAAATTATTTTTATTTTCCAGTTTTAGCCTTTTATTTCTTGTCTTAAGTGTGTAGTTTTTCTTCTTTGTATCAGCTCTATTWGCAGTGTCATAAAATCCTGAGTCTTCTCTTCTTTGAGATGAGCTCCAGTTGCTTCTAATTTGGGGGAACAGATCATATAGCCTACACCTTGCATCACTTCCACTTCTCTTCACCAGATGCTCCATCATTGCTTCACATGTTTCTTTAACTGTTAAACTAAACATGAACAAATTCATGTGTCCAGGGCCTGAGCACTGGTGGTCAGAGCAGAAGGATTGCTTCCTGTGTTTTGCAACCTATAGTCTTGTTTATATACTCTCATATGTTTGTTTTTTTAAAGAACAGCATGCCTTGTTGACTTAGATGTATCTATTCTACTTTGTAACCTGAGAATCATCTTGTAAGGAACTGCTAGTCCTTAGCACCTTGTATTTGTGCATTTGAATATTCCTGTCCTAAATATTCCTTCATTCAGCTTCAGTTACATCCCATTTTCAGCCTATTTCTCCAATTTGTCAAGAGATTTTTGAATTCTAGTGTCTTCCATCATACTTATCGCCTTCCCTTTAGATGTGTCACTTAGAAACACAGCAAGCAGAGTCATAACATTTCTTCTGCAAGTGATCAGTTACATTGGCCAGTGCTTACAAAATCCCTTTAAGCTGCCTTAAATTAACTGCCTAAATAGTTTGGAATATCTTGCTGTAAATGGCCCTGAGATACTGCCRTATATCATACAGGGCACTCAGGGAAGTGAATCCAGATGTTTTAAATAACTGGCCACAGCTGACTCATGTTTCTAAAAGTCATCCTGTATTCCCAACCTCAGGATGCAGTGATTCTTTCTGTTTTCTGAACTGATGCTCTTTTTTTTTTTTTTGTATTTTGAAATGTGTGATGCTGTATAGATTGATTTTTCACAGGTCGCTTTTCCCCAACCACCCTTTAGTCCTCTCATTAATAATACACTTGTTAAAAATAAAAAGCTCTATTTAAATTATATCACTCTATGAAGTCAAACATGTATGTGTCATTGCTCACTGTGGCCTACTCCACTCCCAATAAAAATAAAAAGACTCTATTCACAATACAGCAGGGATTATATAGTGGTCAAAGTGGAAGCACCACTATCTATAAAGACATTGCAGAGGATAGATAATACACAATTTCATAATAACCTAATGTCATAGAAAATTTATTTAATTTTTTTAAATTTATTTTTAAAAATCTCAAATCTTTTTTAAAAATATAGTCTCTTTTTCCCATTAGTATTTTCCAGAAGATGTATATACCTTCACTCAGTCAGTATTCCAAAATGCCTGCCTTTGTTAAGAAGAGTATTGTCTTCTGTCAGTGCAGCACATGGTGCTTTTCCCTGTGCTTTTCCTTGAAGACTAGGCAGTGGAGGTGACACTTGATTCATAAGCTTTTGATCCATATTCTCATTTTATTCTGGAGGAAGATAATTAGACAGGAAAGCAATGAAATAGAGCAGTAATGAAATACAACTGATGATAAAAATGTTGTTTCAATCTTTCCCTGCTTTTATATATATGTATATATATAAAAAGACAGATGATGTAGTCCTGGCTGCCTGTAGGCTTACAGTCTGGGTAAAAAGCAGACTAGCTCTGGGGAACCACGTAGAAGCGAGCTATGCTATGGCAAACTTCATGGAAATCTTGTGTCGCATTTCATTCAGTTACACTTCAAGGTACAGAAAAGGATCTAAGAGTCAAAAAGGTCCAAAGGAAAGAGCTGTGTCCTAGCTGCATTTCAGAACTCTCTGCAATAGGTTGGAATCACATCAGAAACTCTGTAGTCAAGAGACTGGGAAAGTAGGTAGACGTTGGGAGACAGTTTGCACATATGTAGAAAGGATCATTGCTAATGATTTCTTTGGAAGAAAAGGACTTTGCAAAGAGTGGAGAGATGCAGTACTTAGGTTTTTACAAGAGATGATTACTTCTCCCCAAGCAGCTTTATATCCACTGTCCAATTTCCTAATTTGGCCACCTGAAGACTACCAGCTCAGTTTCCAAAACCCTCAGTCATCAAGGAAGAGCGTATCATCTGAATCACTAACATAACACACACAAAAAAAAAGGATAGGAAATACCAATAACTTCTGTAAAGAAACTGATTAAAAATGTTCAGATGATATAGTCAAAGTTGCACTGAAGTTTTGACACCTTTGAAATTTGAGTAGTTATGTAGGAAGAATATCTTAGAAAAATTTCTAAACATGTTCAACACGATGAAAACACATCGAAGCCCTCAGCCTTGGTGAAGCATGGGCTCAGATCGCTTGGGCAGAAGAGCAGGTTATTATTAGTTAASCATTTTACAGGCTCACCTGTGACTTCTATTGCTTCCCACCCATAAATCTCAGAGTGTGTTGTAGTGTTATTATTCCCACTGTGTTGAAAAGCCAAATAAGCATCCACAGCTGATAATTTACCTGAGGTTACCCAGAAGCRGAGCATAGACCTCCAAAGTGCTTGTCTGGCACGTTATTCACTAAACCAGACAGGAATCACATCAAAGAATTGAAAGCCTTATTTGATAAAAGGGTAGCAGAAGCACAGAGGGATGTATTAATTTTCTTCTAGTCTCATGGTAGGTTAATAGGAGAAACACAGTTCCTGGCCAMGTGCCTTGACTTGCTAGAAAGAAGCTCCCGCTCAGCCAAGCTGGCTTAGCCAAGGCCCAAGGTCACCCTCTTTTCTCCCCAAGTGACATCTTATTTTCATCTGGAGATGAAAGAATGAAGTCATGATGGGAGATGCATTTGTTTGGTATATCAATGATGTCTTAGGCACACTAGTCTTCAAATGGAGGGAAAAAAAAAGAATGGGAATTTAGGAATGCCATTCCTAGGCATTAGGAATCTCACATTTGGCAATTCCATGTGTGCCCTTTGAAAGGTTGAGGTTACATGCATAAGAAAAGTATCTATTTCAATTCATTAAAAAAAAAAGAAAAAAGAAAGCTTTGTTGCTTTAATTTTTCCTGTCTGACCAACCTTCTTGCAGAGATGGTTCTTCCAAAATGAAGCTGGGGAAGCAAAGCCTTAGAAATGTAAACATTAAAGGATCTGTAGGAATGAGAATTAAGAAAATGACCATTTGAAATGCTGAAGATGTTTCATTTGCTGAGTTCCCCTGTTCCTGTCAGAAGTAACATCTGTAGAGTTGCCAGATGGGCAGGGAATGCTGCAGTGGAGGCAGAAAGGCTTGGGGAAAGGATGGGCACAGATCCCACAGTTAGACTGGGGTCTGCAACACTGGCCGGTTACACAATGTAGTAAATCCCAARCAGAAACAGTAGCTTCACAGCATCTCCCCAAAGCAGGTAAAGCACCATGTTAACTTGACAGGAAATCTCAGGCACTTGGGTGCTTCTGTCATATCACTTTTTTTTGCAAGCACCGCTGGATTCTTTGCTGGAGGTTTTTCCTATATTGCTTTGGGGAAGATTGTGGATGGGAGGAGGATTAAATGAAACAGTGACTCATATGAGAGTGAGGGAATGCCCATTTCACGAAAGAAAGGATGACTGGAGATCATTATTTCAGCGGATTGCACATAATTGCAAAATGTGGAATTCAGGCATTATGCTACCTAGCAAGTATGGGAAATCTGCTTGGAAGCACAGTTTGTGTGTTTTTCTGCATTGTGTCAGTTTTGACTATGAGGTCCTTTGGATAAGGACTGTAGTATTTTAGATCACCTAGCAGAACATCACCCTGGACTCTGCACTCCTTACGTGAAAACATTAGTTATGATTATCTGTTATTGCAGAGGCTATGGTAGGCTATATTTACACAACGGTACAATTTTTTTTTTTTTTCTGCTTAAGCAAAACATGTGTGCTCACCTAAGTTTTTTGTTGTATTTTTTTACTTTTCTTTACAAGAAAAACCCCATATTCAAGGCAAAAATGGCCCATTACTTCTTTATTTTAATATACAGTTACTCATGACTCACAAATAAGTTAAAAAAAAATCAGAGGGTAGCCCCAAACCACAAATGCAYAATTTCAGTTGAGCTTCAATGACCATTTCAGTCTGATGACTTTAGGGATGGATTTGTGCAAGAGATAACAAGCCAGGGTCTCATTCTCACAAGCATCATGACATCGAATTGTTTGACAGTGAAACAATTCCCAGAGAATCTGGGAACTGAGATGAAAATATTTTAAGGATTCTATATAAMAGTGTGAAGAACCATCTGATTATTTCTAATATTCCTTTCCTATGGTTCTTTCTTTTATTCCACAAAGAGAAATCCTGTGAATCAATATCATCAAGYAATACACAGACTCCAGCAGATAACTCCTTCAATTAGGCTGCATGTATGAGAAGACAAGTAGGAGAACTGATGTACTTTTCTGTGTCTTTCATTATTTTATAGAGTTCTTTCTTGTGTCTTTTCTTCTTTTGACTCCTCTGTAATGTGACTGCCCATGACTCAATAGCTATTTCACWAAAAAAAAAAAAAAAAAAAAAACAGAAGCTACAGCACCATTTTGCTAACCTATTTTGAGGTTTTTGGTGTCATTTCTCTTTGGTTTCCTTTTTTTTTTTTTTTATAATTGACATTTAATTAATGAGAAGGAGCTACTTTGGAATTTGCTTTTCAGGAGAGGCACATTCCACGAGCAAAATTTAGAAACACTGTTTTACCTTGTTCTGAGAAGTATGTGTTATTGCGGTTTTGTTATTTAATTGGGCTGAAAGAAATCAAACATCTGATTGAGGGTGAGTCTCATTGTTTGAACAGGTCATGGTTGACGTTCATGGTTAAGATGAACAAGGTAGTGGAAGGCAGCTAAGTAGCAGTGCACTAAACTGAGAGTAAGGTGGGGACTCCTCTATATTTGCCTTGTCTTTACTTTTCTAAACTCTATTTTTATTCTGCAGGTGATGGAAGTTAAAGGACAAATGATTCATGTGCCTGAGTCAAATTCAATTTTGTTTCTGGGTTCTCCCTGCGTGGACAAGCTGGACGAACTGATGGGCCGAGGCCTTCACCTTTCAGACATTCCCATCCACGATGCTACTCGTGACGTCATATTGGTTGGGGAGCAAGCAAAGGCCCAAGATGGCTTGAAAAAACGTATGGATAAGCTGAAAGCCACACTAGAATGCACACACCAAGCCCTGGAAGAGGAGAAGAAGAAGACAGTTGATCTCCTGATTTCCATTTTCCCAGAGGAAGTGGCCCAGCAGCTGTGGCAGGGGCAGCAAGTCCAGGCGAGGAAGTTTGATGATGTCACGATGCTCTTCTCGGACATCGTGGGCTTCACTGCCATCTGCGCTCAGTGCACCCCCATGCAGGTCATCAGCATGCTCAATGAGCTCTACACGCGCTTCGACCATCAGTGTGGCTTCCTGGACATCTACAAGGTAATTACTCAATTGCCAAATTATATAAATTAAAAAAAAAAAAAGAGAGAAAACCAAAACCCCTCCCAGAAGAAAACCTTTCTAAATTATAGATGTTCTCTATAAAAGTGGGAAAGGCAATTATTTGTTCATTTGGAAAAGGCAATTATTTGTTCATTTGGAAAAATCTGAGTTTGGGGAGAAATAAACTAAATCTGAAGTATTTCCATTGAAAATCAAATACTTTGTTGTTTAACTGTCATCATGGTTTACATGAGAATATATGTCCTATAATCCCATTTTCCTGCAGGGACATACACCTGTGTTATAGTGTAGTTTACTTTCAGCTGACACATCAGGCACAGTGATGAAGTCTGCACTGATGATCCTAGTTCAAGTTCCCAGTTCCTCTGCAGGAAAGGAGATGCTGCATATGTTGATCTTCTTTTAGAATTTATCACCTTCTCTTCAGAGAGGAAATCCATTATGAATCTGAGAGGAAAAAAGAGGGGAGATAGAATTAAGCAAATGCTTCTGAGGTCTTTTATCTGTGAAATTCTATGAAATCTACAATAGAAGAATAGAAGATATTTTAATTTTATAATAGGTAAAGCAGAACAAATTCCTAATAAAAAAAAGTTGATGCCAACACTGACTGCACTCATAAAAAAARGATATAATTATAAAATTATATATTGAAATTGTTTTACATCTGAAATCAACAGTTTTCMGATAGCTCTAAACAGTATTTATTGGTAGACTACAGAGAAGTTTTCACAGGCACACTATTCCTTTAATTTTTACYCTCTAATGCACTTTAAAAGGCACTTAATAATATTCATTATCTAAGTAATAATGACTGTTGTTGCAAAATTATAATAGGTGCTGCAGGTAGAAGTGTATGCTATATAGAAGAAGGCTGGTAAGACCACTTATTGGGGCAAAAGATCATATTGTGGGTATGTTTTGTGCTGCCAGACTAGAGGATGTTATTTCTACTCAAAAGCCAAACAACATGTTGGGAGAGGGCGATGATGAGGAGCACAAATCCTCGTTTGAAAATTGCCRTGCTAACATAGGCAGAAAAGGCTGGAAGACTGAGCTGAGCTTGTGTCTGCTGCCTGCTCTGGAGCTGAACCCAGCTCTGAGCAGGACTGCTAGTTCTGACCCTCTGTGAAGAGCAGGATCTAGTGACCTTGCTTCACAGGCTGGATCTAGTACATGGATGTATGTAGTGTTTTCCCAGATCATTAATTTTAGTTAACTGTTTTGAGTCATTTGAGCCATTTTTTTTTTTTTGTCAAAAGCTGCATCTGTTGCATGGGAATAGGAAATGCAGTATCTCAAACTCTCTGACCTGTTTGGAAGGAAAGTTGGTTGAGCCATGTGAGAATGTTAAAAAGGAATATTTATCCATAAATCATGAATATTATGTTATTTAGATCATGGTTTATTGCCTTTCACACAGCTCTGTTTTGCTGAATAGCAGTATTGTCCTGACTGGTGAAATCAGGTGATCGCTGCCAAGATAGGCAAGATAACATTTATATATCCAGAAGAGGAAAAAGTTTTCCAGGAAACTACCTCAAACTGGGGGGTAAGAAATGTTACTATGGGCTAAGTGAAAAAATGAGTCAGTTGGGCATTACAGAAGAAGAAGAAACTCGGACATGGAAGTTTCCTTCCCTTCAAGAACTAGGCTTAAAATAAAGTGACAAGTCTTTTGGGGAAAAAAAAAAAGAAAAAGCATTTGCATTTTAAAATAAAAATAGCTTTTGTACTCATTTGTTTCAGATGATGTTGTGGAAGCTAAATTTATTGTTAGAAATGTTCACCACCACCACAGCTATTATTTTAGAAATTATTGTCAAACAGTGAATTTTAAATCACCACTRTTTGTACCTACAAGCTCCCTCTAAGTTATATTCCTGTAACTAGGTGACAGAAATTTGTCATGTGACCTATATATAAATCTAAACAGACCAATTTTCAAATTTGCTTGTGTTTAAACAACATGGCAAGAATAATTTTCAAAGATTATTTGCAGAGTACTTCTGCATAACAAATTCATCTTTTTGTAAATGGAAAATGAGGCAAAATTCATTAAATAAATTTCATGCTATGAATTATTCATCCAGCTTTACTTTATAGCATTTTGATTCACAACCTTGGTGCTTCTAATCTAGGACGCAGACAATGCAATGAAAGTAATAATCTTCAATTGTTTCATGCTATTTATTCAACGATGTTTATAGGGAAGTATTGCACGGAAAGACGCATAAGGATGCTTATATTTAACAAGTAGGAAATGAATGACAAACATAATGAGCTATTGTATACAAAATAAGAAATGTTTGGAGGAGGGATAAAATGGAAAGGATTAAACTTTGAAATGTCTTATAAATGAAAGTAAGCAGCTATAATTGACTAAATAAGGAAAGGGTATCCAGTGAAGGGATGCACTTGTATGAATGATAGAATCAAATGTTGGCCTCAAAAAAAGAAAGAAAAAAAAAAAAAAAAAAAAACCACTTTACACCAGTATTTTGAATAGCTACCAGTGGTAACAGATTACATTTGTCCAGGCTGAGGATATTGCAGTGATTGAGAAGCATGGAGATAAGAGCCTATGGGAAAGTGCTAGCAGAATGGAAGGGTCTGTATTTTATATGTGCTTGTATGTATATGTAGTTTAAAAAGAGAAATTTTAAAAAGAATCTGCTTGCAAACAGCCTGGACAAAAAGACAAGAGGAACCCTCTCAGGGGACGGGATGAGGAAAGTCTGAGTGTGTACATGGCAGTCTTTGGAAACTGGTCCTGCCTGGTATTTGAGCTGATTATATTTGCCTTGGAACTGGGGAATGAGAGCAAAAAGATGCTCTTGAGCAGAGTTTGCAAATCAAAGCCATGTAAATACAGCTCTAAAGAGTCTTGGTAAGGTTTTGTGTGTGAGCATGGAAATAGAAATGTGGACTCCAGGAGCAGATATATTAGGAAAGATTTCAGTAAACTGAGAAAACAACTGCTTTGAGTAAAACATATACTGGTGCTGTTTTGTTTGTTTTGTTTAAACATTTATTTCTCTGTATCTGAACTCCTGCTGTTTATGAGCCAAGTACTGGAAAACGATTGTACAGCTAAATCATCTCTTTATTAAATATGCTATTTAGATATGTTGCAGCCACAGCGCACACTGAATACCTACCTCTGCAGATGGAAATCTTCCACTGTCAAGCATTTTGCAGCCTCTGTTCCTCCGAGCAGTATGTCTTTGTTCTGGGATCTTTTTTAATTTTTTTTTTTTTTTTTTTTTTTTTTTTTTTTACTATTACTCTTTGTGCCGCTGTAGGTAGCTGTTTTCTCCGCTCCTTTCCTTTCGAAAGCAACCTCAATTCTCCCCTCATCCTTTAGCTGCAGCAGGTGGAGAAGCAGCACCTGGTGGGGCTGGTTTTCAGCACTNTTTTTTTTTTTTTTTTTTTTTTTTTACTATTACTCTTTGTGCCTCTGTAGGTAGCTGTTTTCTCAGCTCCTTTCCTTTCGAAAGCAACCTCAATTCTCCCCTCATCCTTTAGCTGCAGCAGGTGGAGAAGCAGCACCTGGTGGGGCTGGTTTTCAGCACTGCTGGCTATTTGCTGGCTGCATAATGCCAAACCAAGCAGATCCCAATCGAATCTTGTGGATATTCTTTTTGATAATCCTTTCCCTGGACAGGGCAGCCTGCATCCTTGAGGCGTTTCTTCAGGACAGATTTTCACCAAGCAGTCTCCCTTGCACAGAACCTACCTCTGCATGGGGCTWCCTTGCCTGGCAGAGCTGACCTTTCAATGAGCTGCTTTGCTGAGGTCCCACCACAGGGATCTGTGATCTTCTTGGGAACTCAGAAGCATTCCTGGATTCAGTAAAAATGCAAAAAAAACACCCAACCAAGCAAAAAAGATTTGTTTTTGTCTGGAATCACCTTGTAGATCTGGCGTATCACCATGGAGGACCTTGAGCTTGTTTTAAGATTTCCTGTTACTTTAAGCTAGCATTTTTCTCCAGTTCTGAGGATGATTTATATGATTAATTTCTGGGAGTTGTGCAAATGAAGCAGCCATCCAGGCTTCGGAAAGTCACTCTGTAAACATACAGGTCTACACAGAGCACTAAAATCTCCATGTATATTACCCTATTGTAGGTAATTTGTCACTCAAGAACCCTTGAAGGGACCAGGCCTTCTGCTCTTGTGTATCATTTCTTCTTTAAGAATACCTTCTTTGCATGTCATAGAATCATAGAATCATAAAGATTGGAAGGGACCTTTAGAGATCATCTAGTCCCTCTGCACATGCAGGGTCACTTAGGGCATGTGGCACAGGATTGTGTCCAAGTGGATTTTGAAGATCTCCAGAGAAAGACGTTCAAGAACCTCTCTTCGCAGCTCTCTCACCCTTTCCTCATATGGCAGATGTTCCAGGCCCCTGATCATCCTCATAACCTGTGCTGGACTCTCCCCAGTAGTTACACAATTTCTATTTCTTTCCATGAGTTGCATTTCTTTCTTTCTCTCTCTCTTGTTCTCTCCTCCCACACTTCTCCTCACTTAACAGGACACTTCTGTTTATAAGCATTGCCCTGCTTTTCTGTCAAGCTACTTTCAAGTTTTAAAGTCTATGTGTAAATTACAAGCCCTAGGAATGCTTCTGAAGGCCCAAGTTTGTGTGTGAATCCTGGTCACGTTCTAACTTTTTTTTTCTGAAGAGGATTTAGACAATCGTACTCTTTTGAGGCTTCCCATTCCATGTCAATGAGCAAGAATTTAGACAATCATACTCTTTTGAGGCTTCCTGTTCCATGTCAATGAGCAAGCTTGGACATAGTGGCTTGACAGGAAAGATCTCTGGGCAAGAGCATGCCTTGTCACAGCATGCAAATCGCCCAGGGCTTTGGTTTTCAAAACTATTGTTTAATACCTCAGTCCTTTGAATATTTCATTTTCTTGTTTCAAGTTTTTCTGCCTTCTATTATATGTATCCCTCGA